AGTCTTATTCACTCTTCCCATCCATTCTGTAGTCCCTATTGTATTCTGTGGCATCATTTGGGCCCTTTGGTCTGATTATTTGGACATTGTTACCTGTGTTCTTCCACTGATTTTTCCTCATTTGTGAAGATATCTTTTCTTTCTCTTTAAGTCCATTATTCAGTGGTAGTGGGAGGAGCTTTCATGTCTGTTGTTTGTTCAGCTCTCTATTCTTCCCTTACCCGAGACGTTTAATTTGTTCTCTTTTGAATCAGGGCTGGAGGTGGGGAAGCTGTGCTGTGTTGTAGTTTTCAGAGTCAATTAAGGTGGAGAATAGAGAACTAGGATTCAGAAACTACTTGCAAGCAGCAGTGTTTACTGAATTGAGGTATGGTCCTCCTGAGACCCACTCCCCACCACCACCCTGTATGCCAGTGCAGTGGGTATGTATGTGTGCCCTGAGTGCAAGATAAAGTAACAGCAATGAGGAGAACAGAGGAAAGTAGAATGAAAGAGAACAGACAAAATAATAATAATAAAATTTTAAAACCACAGAAAAACAAAAGCAAGAACAAAAAATAAGAAAAAATACACACATGCAATAAAAAACAAAAGAAGAAAAAGAAAAAAGGGGGTAATGGAAACCTTCACACATACACTAAACCAAAACCAAAGGTGAACAAAAAAGAAAAACCAATAAACGAACACACACACACACACACACACACACACACACACACACACACACGTGTGCAGAGAGAAAAAAAAACAAAAACCGAAAGAAGGTAAAGAAAAAAATTTTTCTGGGCACTGAGCACCCTCTTGTGGCAGTTTCTGTAATTATTCCTCTCAGCTTCTCACAGGTAAGCCCGCCTGCTGTAAGCTGTCTTGCTGGAGCTTGGGGCTGTGGCTTCATTCACAATCTCCCCAGGGGTTGGGGGCAGTGGGAGGGGTTTCAGGTCTTCTCTCCTGCTTTCTCTCTTTATGATGGAAGGCATCCCCTCAGTGGGGCATGTGAAACTCTCTCTTTTCCAGGTGCTGGCAAGCAGGTGCTCCAGCCAGACTTTTCCCAGAGTCCAGTGTTTTATTGCGACTGCCATCCAGGCAGAACATGTGGATCTGACAGTCAGAGGACTGCTGGGGGCAGGAGGTTGGGACAGCCCAGCACTCACCGCTGATCATCTCTTGCTGGGTGTTCTTTGTCCTTTTCTTGTCACGTTTTTTTCCCCCTGTGGCTGGGTTAGGGTAGGGGGTGGGGTGCCTGAGACTTCCCTGTCTCTCTGAAGTTTGTGCTTTCAGGATGTTCCCTCTGGATTCATGATCAACCCAGAGTGATAAGTAGTTAATCCACTGGTCACAGGGAGCGGATCTGGACAGTGGATCCAATTTTCAAGGTGATGCTGGGGTGCATGTTTTGTCTTTTCCAATGGGACTGTGCCCGTGGCTTTCTCCCTGAGCTCCCTCCACAGCCCTCACTGCTAGTGTTTGACCTGGCGCTGCAGTGGTAGGGCAGAGCCTGGCGCTGGCAGTGACTCCCGGCAGCTTCTTTCTGGTAAGGGTTTTGTTGCTTCTAGAAAATGGCGCTTACTTCTGCACCCCAGGATGCACCAGGGTCCAAGCAGAGCAGCAGTAGCACCAGTTTTATCAGGAGAACCTTGGCCACTGAATTAGAGTGTGACAGTTTTACTTTGGTGACTAGAGTGTGACAGTTTTACTTTGGTGACAGTTGGAAGTTTGAGTTTTAAGAGGCTACTTGTTTTCATATAGATAAATTTCTGGTGTCTTGGCCTGAACATGTCCATTTCTTTTTCATGACCTGTTCTGCTATTTTGGCTACACATTCCTTGCCCTTCTTTTCTTCTCCTTTTCCGTCTACTTCTCCTTTGCCGCCTCTTCCTCCTCCACCTTTTCTTCTTCCTATTGTTTTCTTTTTTCCTTTTTTTTTTTTTAACCAAATCTGACTTAAATTATTGATGCTGGAGGACATAGTGACTGTGTTCATGGTTTGTGGTTGTCACTGTGTTTTGTTTTTTGTTTTGAGTTGGAGTCTCACTCAGTCACCCAGACTGAAGTGCAGTGGCCACTCTCGGCCACCGCAGCCTCGACCTGCTTGGCTCCGGCGATCTTTCCACCTCAGCCTTCCGAGTAACTGGAACTACAGGCACGCGCTACCACGCCCAGCTAGTTTTTTATTTATTGTAGAGATGAGGTCTTGCCAAGTTGCCCAGGCGGGTCTTGAACCCGCAGGCTCAGGCAATCCACTCACCTCAGCACTGTTTTACCTTCAGGAAATTGTTTCTCTTTTCTATTTCTTGCCACTGTTACTAGTGCTTCTGATCTCTACTCTTCTTTTTGCATTACTCTTTGCCCTTTCTTTTTTATTTTTCCTACATTTGAATGAGATTATGAAGTATTTTATTGTAGTTCTTGATAGCTTTTGGACACTTAATGGTGCCAGAAACCAAACAGACTGCATAGTGACCATGGGCTTCAGTGTTTCCAGATAATAGGGGAAGGCAGGCTGTTTAAAGAATTTTGAGACGCTGTTTGTCTCTTAGTGACCTGCTAGGAAGACCACAGAATGGGCAGATCGATAAGTTTGGGTATTTATCTTGTCACTGACATCCCTGTGGTCCATACTCTCAGGTCTTTGGAAAACTCAGTTTCTATTCAGAGGTTTTCAATATCCCAGATAACCTGAATTTTATGTACTGTAGGTTGAGGGGGAAGGGAAGTAAGGGTAGGATGGATTATGAGAGGACCATTAGTCAGGGAAGCTGAAGATCTGGAGGTTTCTCTGAGATCCTGGATAGCTGAGACACTGAATTTCTAGTACTTAACATAATGTAGGCACTTACAAGTATTTCTTTGCTGGATAAACATTATAAAGATGAGGAATCATCTAGAATTAAAATTAAAATGTAATTCTCATACAAAGGTCAACCTATTCTACCTTGAAGATATGAGAGAACACAAAGAAAGATTTTTGAAATGTTGTCTTAGCTCTTTAAGTTTAGGTAGCATTAGATCTTCTGCAGCTTTAAGTTATTTTAAGGTTAATCAGTGTAGCAGTTTTTGTTTTAAGGTTTGCCCTTGACATGGGTTAATGATAGTTTATTTCCTTTCGTTCTTGGTGTTGATAATTTTCGCCTTATTTATTTGTTCATTTGTTGGCAGGACAGGACAAGATAGGTGGGGTAGCTACTTATTTTGAATTAGTGTATGTGCAGAGTCTCCTCTCGTTCTTAAATTTTCTTTCTTCCTTTTTTTCAAATTGCTAGTAAGATTGTTTTTCTGATTTGGTGCTATTCTAGAAGCTCTGAGTTCCTGTAATATTAAAGTTAAGGTAAATGAAGTGATACTGAACTGGAAAAAGGTTTTGGACTAGTGTTAGTATTATTTACATAAAAATGAAAACATAATTTTATTTACTCACTAAATTTGTATAGAAGCTTATTTTTCTTATTCCTAAGATATATATTTTCCAACTAGAATATCATAAGTAAACCAGTAGCATTATAGGAAATGTAATGGATTTTCAGAGTTTGGTGCACTAAGGATATAAAATTTCAATAGAAATATTTTCTGTAATACATTGTATATGATTTTAATGTTTCCTAATCTTAATCTTGACAATCAAGCAACCTACAACAGTATCTAGTTATCGCCATAAGTTTGATGCCAAAAATAGATATTATTTTACCTCCTAAATTTAGTGAGTGGGATTAAAATTATATACAATCTTACTTTATTGTTTCTTTGTTTTTAGTACTGATATCTACGTATTAAAAAATTAATGTCCAAGAAATCTAGGGTTTCTCCCCTATTCAAATGAAGGAAAACTGTTAAATATAAATACCTGTCTATGCCACAGTAGATATGATATGCATGATATACTGCCAAGTGATGCAATGTAATGCCTTGATTTTTTTATGGAAGGATATTAACTCACTGTACTTTTAAAAAGTAGAAGATAATCAGACATGCAAAATACCTGGTTTCGGGTACTTGGAGCTTCAAATGTCTAATTCCTTTGTCCATATTGTTAGTACTCCGTTTGTGTTAAAGAGGATGCAATATGAAATTGATACTCTGAAGACTCAGTTCCATCAAAATGAGATAAAAGTAAAATTACAGTGCTGAGTCTTATTAAACCTCAACAACCAGAAGTCCAAATTATCTACTATTGCATGATGACTTAACAGATCGGCAAAATTGGGAACTTAACAGATCAGCAAAATTGTGCCATGAAGTGTTGAGGTGGATACAAACATGAAAGAGATACAATTTGCTACTAGATAGATCCAAGTCCAGTAGTAGTAACAAAATGTAAACTGCTATAATTAAGTGGTAAATTCTATAATTGTGATGTGTTAAGAATGAGTGAGAATAGAGAAAAACTGCCTGGTATTATAGGAAAAACTTACTGAGATAGTGATACTTGAACTTTCAGGATAATTCATCTGTAAAGAAATAACACTGGAAGTTTTATTTATTCATCTTTTACCATATCCTTTCTGTTTCTGAAATTATCGTACATGCACATAACATTAAAAGTATCATTTTAACCATTATTAAGTGTTCAGTTCTGTGGCATTAAGTGCATTCTCACTATTGTTCCACCTTCACCACTCACTGTTGTTCCACCTTCAGAACTTTTTGTCTTCCCCAGCTGAAACTGTATCCATTAATACTAACTCCCCATTCTTCTCTCCCAGCTTGTGATAACAAGTATTCTACTTTTATGTCTCTCTGAATTTGACCACCTTAGGTAGTTTTCTTATTATTAAATGCTCTGTTAGCCTACTAACCCAGCATGTAGTAGGTAGTGAATAAATTTCTAAATTAAGTGGCAATTAGGAATTGAAAATGTTTGCTTATGTCAGTTGACCCTATTTCTTGTGTGCACCCAAACTGCAAATTATTGTTATACCAATCGTGTCAATTTTTAGGAAACATTTTGTTTTATCTTACGTATTTTTTATTTAAATTTTTTTTCACGTATTTTACTTTCTTTTTAGACTGAATCTGGATATGGCTCTGAATCCAGCTTGCGTCGACATGGCTCAATGGTGTCACTGGTGTCTGGAGCAAGTGGCTATTCTGCAACATCCACCTCTTCGTTCAAGGTTTGTAGTTAATGAATGCTTTACACTCAGGCAACGTAAATAGAGTTTAGTGTATATTTTTTTTAATTTTAGTTATTTTAATGGTGTGGAGTACGGTCCTGGGCCAGGTATACAAATGCTCATTATGAGCTACCGTTGTTGATGAGGTATGCCCGCCCTACTTCAGGCAGATTCGCACTACTGCCAGTCCTGCTTTCCCACTCCACTCCCCGGCAGTTTCCCACTACTGCCAGTCCTTTTCTTATGAGTTTAGTGTTGAATGTTGAGAACAGAACATGCTTGATCATTTTTTGAAAAAGCTTTTAGACAATGTAATTTATTTGAACTTATTATAGAATAGCTTTTTAGATGTAAAATAACGACTCATATGAATGCATGTCAGAGATTTTATTTCATTCGTTAATTGAGGTAAGATATAAATTTAAAAATTGGTTCAAAGGAGACTCTGAAAACTACTAAAATTAATGGTTTATATATGCAAATCTGGTCAATATCCAGAGATTAATAACCAGTGTCTCTGCATCTGACAAAATTCATTTGCATTTCTATGGACAAGAAACATTTGCATTGCTCAGGTTTTTGGGCGGTTTTTTTGGTTTTTTTGAGTTGGAGTCTCACTCGGTCACCCAGACTGGAGTGCAGTGGCCGCTTCCAGCCACTGCAGCCTCAACCTGCTGGGCTCCGGCGATCCTTCCGCCTCAGCCGTCCAAGTAGCTGGAACTACAGGCGTGCGCTACCATGCCCAGCTAGTTTTTTTGATTTATTGTAGAGATGCGGTCTCGCCAAGTTGCCCAGGCAGGTCTTGAACCCGCGGGCTCAGGCAATCTACTCACCTCAGCCTCCCAAGGTGCGGGATTACAGGCTAAGCCACCGAGCCCAGCTGCTCAGGTTTTTACTAAAAGAATTGTAAGTTATCACAAATGCAACGACAGGTGAAAACGTCTTTATGATCAGAAGCACTCTCCTAAGAGTCCCATAGGTGACACGCATTACTTTGAAAGGACACCAGTAGTATTTCTGTCCATTTCAAAGTCTTTCACAGTTGTTCCTCACAATTTGTCTAATTTGAAAATATTAAATATTATATTAGCAAATTGTCAGACATTATTGCTTTCTATTTTTCATTAAAAAGTAAGGCTACCACTATCAAGCCACTAGATTAGTCAGTTTTGAGCCTAATTTTGGGATTATTACATTGAACTTGACAACTCTCCTTATTTCATGCCCTCAGTGATAAGGTGCAGAACTTAAAAGATGAAGTACCATAGGACCAAACAAAGTCAAGTTTCATTTTACTTGAATTACATCCCCCCTTTTTGTGTTTCGCAGAAAGGCCACAGTTTACGTGAGAAATTGGCTGAAATGGAAACCTTTAGAGATATCCTATGTAGACAAGTTGATACTCTACAGAAATTCTTTGATGCCTGTGCTGATGCTGTCTCCAAGGATGAACTTCAAAGGGATAAAGGTTAATTAGGCTATTACCACTATTTTTACTTGGAGAATGAATGGATTTAAAGCCTCTTGATCTTAAAGGGTAATATCTTTAAGTGATAAAGGTAATTATAGTCATTTTTGCTGCAAACCCACAATGTAACAGATTTCAGTGTTCGTATAACTTGGGAACTTGAATAGCACATACTAATTCATTTCTGATCATCCTTACCAGATGCCATTGAAGAATTTTACTCTTTATTCCATTAAAAAATGGTATCTGTTGCCTTGGTGATATGAACACATATCTGAAAGCAATCTCCTTCTCTCTCATTTCTCTTATTCTCTCTCTCTTTTCTTTCTTTCCCTCTCTCTTATTTCTCTCCCTTTCTCTCCTCCTTTTCTTATTGAAGAAGGAATGAATAATGGAAATGAAATAATTTTATATTATTTAAACATAATTGTTAGTGAATTTACTTAAAAGAAACAAGAAATGAACTTTAGTTAACTTTTCTTTTTCTTAGATTCATGGGGTACAAGTGTATGTTTGTTACATAGACATTGCATACTGATGGGGGTTGGGCTTCGGGTAGTCCATCCTCAGGTAGTGAACATTATACCCAGTAGGTAACTCCTGAACCCTTACTCACCTCACCACTTTTTTTCTTTAATGTCTATTATTTCTGTCTTTGTGGCCATTTAACTCCCATATATAAGTGAGAACATGCAGTGTTTGGTTTTTTGTTTCTGAATTAGTTTGCTCGGGATGATGTTCTGTAGTGTTCCCCAGCTCTATTCATGTTATTGAAAAAGACATTTCTTTCATTCTTTTTTATGGCTACATAATATTCCATGGTGTATATGTACCACATTTTATTTTTCCAGTAAATTGTTGATGGGTGCTTGGGTTGGTTTCATGATTTTGCTATTGTGAATAGTGCTATATTGAGCATAGAGTACAGACAATACCATTTTTGTATAATTATTCTTTTCCTTTGGGTGGATACGTAGTATTGGGATTGCTGGATCAAATGATAGTTTTCATTTCTTGGAGAAATCTCCATACTTTTTTCCATAAATGTCGAACTCCATATCTATGCCAACATCTGTTGTTCTTTGATTTTTTTAAATAATAGCCATTCTTACTGGTATAAGATATTTCATTTGTGTGTGTGTGTGTTTTGAGGCAGAGTCTCTCTCTGTCACCTAGGCTGGAGTGTATAGTAGCATGATTATGACTCGCCACAACCTCAAACTCCTCGGCTCAAGTGATCCTCCTCCTGCCTCAGCTTCCCAAGTAGCTGGAACTACAGATATTCATTCCCATGTCCAGCTAATTTTTTGTATGATTTGTACAGATGGGGTCTTACTTTGTTTCCCAGGCTCATCTCAAGCTTCTGGTCTCAAATGATCCTCCTGCTTCAGCCTCTCAAAGTACTGATATTACAAGACATGAGCCACTGCACACAGCTTCATTGTGGTTTTAATTTGTATTTCTCTGATAATTAATGATATTGACCATTTTTTCATATGTTTATTTACGACTTGTATGTCTTTTTGTGTGTGTGAAGTATCTGTTCATGTCCTCTGCCCACTTTTTTATGGAGTTTGTTTTTTCATGTTGTGTTGTTGGAGTTCCTTGTAGATTCTAGAAATTAGTCCTTTGCGGAATAATTGGCAAATATTAACTCTTTTTCTTTTGCTATGCAGAAACTTTTTAGTTTAAGTCCCATTTGTCTGTTTTTGTTTTTGTTGCGTTTGTTTTGGGGGTCTTCATCATAAATTTTTTGTCTAGGCTAATGTCCAGAAGCGTTTTTCCTAGGTTTTCTCTTTTAGGATGTTTATAGTTTTACGTCTTTCATTTAAGTCTTTAATTCATCTTGAGTTAATTTTTGCATATGGTGAGAAGTAGGAGTCCAGTTTCATTCTTCTGCAAATGGCTAGTCAGTTTTCCTGGCACCATTTATTGTATAGGGTGTCCTTTCCCTGTTGTTTATTTTTGTCAGCTTTGTCAAAGACATTTGTTGGTATGTGACTTTGTTTCTGTGTTCTCTGTTCTGTTCCATTGATCTATTTTTATATTGGTACCATGCTGTTTTACTTGTTATAGCCTTGTATAATTTGAAGTCAGGTAGTGTGATACTGCCTCCACAGTAATCCTATTACTTAGGATTGCATTGGCTGTTCATGCTCTTTTTTGGTTCCATATACACTTCAGGATTGCTTTTTTGGTTCCGTGAAAAATGATGTTGGTATTTTGATAGGGCTTACATTGAATCTGTAGTTGCTTTGGGCAGTATGGTCATTTTAACAATATTGATTCTTCCAATCCATGAGCTTGAGATGTTCTTCCATTTGTTTGTGTCATCTGTGATTTCTTTCATCAGTGTTTTACAGTTCTTGTCATTTGACCTATAGATCTTTAGTTAACTTTTTTTTTTTTGAGTTGGAGTCTCACTCCTTCACCCAGACTGGAGTGCAGTAGCATGCATGCTCAGGCCACCCCAGCGTCGACCTGCTGGGCTCCAGCAATCTTTCCGCCTCAGCCTTCCGAGTAACTGGAACCACAGACATGCGCTACCACGCCCAACTATTTTTTATTTTTATTGTAGAGACGAGGTCTCGCCAAGTTGCTCGGGCTGGTCTCCAATCCGCAGGCTCAAGCAATCCACTCATTTCGGCCTCCCAAAGTGCTGGAATTACAGGCTGAGCCACTGAACCTGGCCTAATTAACTTTTAATGTTAGTTTAATTTTTCTTTTTTAGTGCTGAAGATACTGGTGATATCAACATATGTTCTTCACGTTTTCTTCTAATTTACTGTGAAGGCAAAAATGAACTACTCTAGCAGTGTTACTAAATAGATCTGAGTTAATTCTCGGTATAACTAGGTTACTTGACATGGTTTCATTTCTTGGTCTTATTAAATGTGTTTTATCTGCATTCAATTCTTTTTACATCTGCCATTTTTGTTCTCTTTTTCTGCCTTCTTTTGGGTTGAGTTTTTAAAAAAATAATTCCATTTTATCTCCTTTGTTGCCTTCTTTTTTTTTTTTTTGAGTTGGAGTCTCATTCTGTTGCCTTCTTACCTATAACTTTGTTTTAGTGACTGCACTAAGGTTTATAATTAGCATAATTAACTTACTACAGTCTACCTCCAGGTAATATTAACACTGTATGTGTAGTATCAGAAGCTTCCAATAATGTATTTCTGTTTCTCTCTACCATTGAGGCAATACTCTCCTGAGTTCTCTGACCACTTCCTTGTGAATTATGAGGTTTTTTCAGTCTGCATTGTAGGACAGGTACTTCTTTCTGCCCCGTGTGAGCATCAGATCCTGTTTCCTAGAAGCCTTTCAGAAAGTTCTTTGCCTGACCTTTGTAGTTTTCTCACTTCATGTGCTTTCCGTACTCTGCTGAGTTCTCAAGGGCCTTCTGCCCGTCCCCAGCATCTTTTCTCTGTACAGTTCTCTCCAGTACTCTGATTTGTGAACTCTAATTGCCTTTGAGTGTCTGGACACTCAACTTCATCTCCGTATATCAGAGAGCCTACAAGCTTCCTCCTGGGTTTTCTGTCCTTACTATGTGACTTGAAAACTCTCACGGCAATGAGATGGGACAGTCACAGAGCTCATTTGTTTCCCAACTCTCAGGGATCACTGTCCTTTGTTGCCTGAAAGCCAATGTCTTGAAAACTATTGTTCCATATAGTTTTTCAGTTTTTTAGTTCACACTAGAGAGTAAATTTAGTCCCTGTTATTCTATCTTGACCAGAAGCAGAAATCCATAGTCTTCTTAAAAGTACTTAATTTTGGCCGGGCTCAGTGGCTCAGCCTGTAATTCCAGCACTTTGGGAGGCCAAGGTGAGTGGATTGCCTGAGCCCGCGGGTTCAAGACCCGCCCAGGCCACTTGGTGAGACCTCATCTCTCCAATAAATAAAAAAAATTAGCCGGGCGTGGTAGCTTGCGCCTGTAGTTCCAGCTACCTGGAAGGCTGAGGCGGAAGGATCTCCGGAGCCCAGCAGGTCGAGGCTGCAGTGGCCAGGAGCATGCCACTGCACTCCAGGCTGGGCGACGGAGTGAGACTCCAACTCAAAAAAAAAAAAAAAAGTACTTAATTTTGTCCAAATTTAGTAGCCTTGACTTTCTTTATATTTGATATACTTTAAGTCTTTGGTTCTTTAGTGTGGAATTTTTTTTCTCTCTAAAAATAAAGACAGTTGAACTTCAACTTCACTTTTCTAAAGTGTACCCTTTTAATCAAATTAAATATTTCATGTTATCTTTGCTTTGCTTGCACATAGCCCTTTATTATTATTAATATTATTTTCCTATTTGTTGTCATGTTGTCTCATGTGGAGCCAAGGTGTTGAGGGAAACCCAGTCTGTGGTCAGCCCTGCTGCAGCCGTCCGGTCCACCCCCACAGTCTACCCACCATGGCTCACCACCCTCCCAGTCCACGACCCCACAGTCCACATCCCCACTCCCCACCATCTGCCCCTCCCATCCCCTCCTCCCTGTCCTCACTCCATACCACAGGGAGGGCAGCCAGGGAGGCAGTGGCCGTGACCTGGGCCTATACACACCTGGCCCGTCCCACAGTGGAAGGCTTCACTCCATTAAAAGTTGCTTTAGCACATGCCTGTAATTCCGGCTACTCGGAAGGCTGGGGCGGAAGGGTCGCCGGAGCCCAGCAGGTTGAGGCTGCGGTGGCCGGGAGCGGCCACTGCACTCCAGTCTGGGCAACAGAGTGAGACTCCAACTCAAAAAAAAAAAAAAGTTGTTTCAGGGATTCCACTGCCCACCCCCCCAAGGTGGAAACTTTCTGTCCAGAAGGCAACATGAGGCAAGTTTCTTAGTCAGTAGGTTTAGGTGGAGTCAGGCAAGGGCCGCGGTGAGGGGCCCAGAGCTCGGCATGGAGAGTGTGTTCACAACCCACGGCCCCCCTGCACACAGCCCTTTAAGCAAAAACAGGATGCATACAGAATTTGATTAGTCATTTATCTTTAAATGGGCAACACCAACAGTGTATAG